GGGAGAGAAATGCTGCAATAAAAGCTACCAGCCGTGAAGCTGTAACCTAGCTTGCTCAGGGTGACCTCCCTGCCAAGATTGCCTTGCAAAGAAGGGGAGTGCAGGCAAAGCAGCAGAGGCAAAGGGTGATGCAAATGGGCACAAAGAAGCACTCCTGCTGCAAAGTGACATTGCAACTGTGCCAGCAGGGATGCTGCTGTGGCAGGCAGTGGCACTAATTGCCTTCCTACCCTGCTTGCTCCATCCTCTCCTTGCCCATCACAGACAGGATACATGCATTAGCTCACACTTCAGGCTATTTCAAGCTGCTCCAAGACAGGAACTTCCAGAGACAGCGTGTAAGATTCACCTCTCTGATGAAAAAATGTTGCTTTGCCCTGAGAAACAATCCTGAGCCCACCCTAGCAGCCACTTCCAATATGGATGAGGGAGGTCAGTCCAGGGAACAATGCCGTCCTTGCACCAACAAACCCAACACTAAGTATTTGGTAATACCCACAAACTTTTCATTCCTGTCCCCAAAACCCCATCATTTAACTGCATCAGAGCAGGCACAGATGTCTGCGTGGGCTTTTTTTTTTTTTTTTTTTGCCCCATCTCCTAAAATCCTATGATGGTGAGACCATTTCTGCTTGCACTTCCAGAGAAGGACCCTTCCAGCCTTTGCAAATGCTCACGAACATGGCCCTAATGCTTCCAACGCAAAAGAGGAAGGAGAGAACTTAACCACATTATTAGCTTTAAATATCTCATGACCTTTTACTGCAAATCTCAAGATCTGAGGTGCAGCCCGCCTCACGGTTCGTTAACATTTCATGTTGTCAGTGCAGCCAATGGGTTCAATTAGACTCCACTACGGCATCTGCAAATTGCTGGCAACCCACAGTAGGAAATCCTCCCTCAGTCTGGCCACCAGCTCTGACGCTGCATAAGAAATACCTTCTTGAGCCTTGCCACATTCCTGGAATGTGCATCGAGCTGGCAAGTGCTCAGCTCATGTGATATCCCTCCGAAATCTGCTAAAAGGGGGGATCCTGCTCCAGAAAATGCCATGAGAAGGGAGCAAATTGGGTGCAAGACCTGCCCATGGCTCCCCAGAGATGCTCAGGATGGTGTCTGGCCACCTGCCTGCGTGTAGGGGTGAGCGTGCAGATGTGCTCGCAGGGAGATCGCATGTGTGAGTGCGGCAGTCGCTGCTGTTGTGAGTTAACTGAAGGAGCCTGTAAAACCAGAAACAGGCTATTAGCAATCCATTAGGAAAGGGTATCCAGTTCCAGCCTAGGTAAGCCATTAGAGGAACATCTGAGAGCATTAGGGGAGCTCGCTTGGGGCCAGGATGGGGCTATAAAACAGAAGAGGAAACCATGCTAATCTGGCTTGAATTACAAACTTAAAAGCAGGAGAAAAATAAAGGATACCCTAAACATTTAATGTTTTATATTTAGGAGACAGAAGGGGAGATTTTGCCAAAACGAGAGAATGAAAAACCTGTTTAGGCTACAAATATCCATCTCTCTTCTGGCAGCAGAGAAACCACTAGCCCCTCTTCCAGAAAGGGAGGAGTATGATTTTAAAGTTGCTTGAGTTTCAGAGTGAGCTCAGTGCTGGTGAGGTGGAGGGGAGTCTTTGGCCACATGATGTGACATGATGTGACATGGCTGCAACCCCAACAGCTACAAAATGCTTGTGCCCAGGGTCAAGGGAGCTGCTGTGAGGTGGCACGATCTGGCATATGCTTCACTGCATGTCCATGTGGAAACCCATCATCCTTCCATGATAATAATTCCTAGAGCACATCAACATAATTTCCAGAGTAAATGGCAACATGAAAGCTGCTAAGTGGTCCGGGTGGAAAGGTGCTGCTGAGCAGGGTAAAGGGATTGTAAATGGCATGCTGGAGCTCAAACCCCATTTGCAAAGCACTGGGAAGGTGACAAGGGTGTTCTCCCCACCACTGGGTCAGCCCCAGAGATTGTTTCATGGTGTGGGTTGCTTGAGTCTGGCATCACCTAGCTTTCTCTGGCAGAGGGGAAACTGCCAGAGGCCAGCTCACATAGTGGTAGTCTCAATAAGATCCACTACTCCCGCCATGGATGGCTTCATCTTCTGGTGCCAAGCCCTGGCATTATTAAAATCCTGAAAGGAAGAGACTGGAAGAAAGCAGACGCTGATTGAATCAGGCCCTATGGTATTCGACAGCTCGACATCCATCTGATCCTATTAGTGCTCATTTGGTCCTGCCTGCCGAGGTGCTGTGCATAAATCAGACCCTGCAAAGATAATGGGAGGTGGTGAGGTGAAAGAAGAGCTGCTTCTTCTGCCAAGAAGTGTGAGCCATGTGTGAGCAGGGCCTGCATGGATATTCTGTCTCTGGGCAGCCTTTGATGTTCCTTTGTGGGTTTTCTCCTGCAGGGATGCTGGCCTTTCCACAGGGCTGCCAAGTACATGCTTCAAACCCATGGCTGGTGCAGAGCAGGGTTGCCATAAGGTGGCAGGGTCAGGGCTCAGCCTGTGGACCTTGGGCAGACAGGGACATGTCAGAACATGATGCTACCCAACTCATCTTGCCTGTTGGCCGGGACTTCTCCTCTCCCCACTGAGCTTCAAGCTGCCCCATTGTCAGCGCGCAGGTTGTGTGGGCATAAAAAGCAAGGACTTCTCTGTGCCAACTGCCTGTGGGGACAGCAAGAGCCAAGATGGGGAGCAGCTTGTGGCAAGAGACCTGCACCTTGACAAGAATTAAGACACCCTCATGCACACCTCATCCTTTCTCAGGGCAGTCATCCCTTTGAGCTGAGACCCAGCACCACTACTGCAAGACAAGAGGGACAGATGAGCTAGGCTTGGACCCATCAAACCATGTCCTTCCCTTTTCTGTCTCGATTTGGGGGAATAGAGACACCCTCCAAAATAACAACAGGTAATGTCAAACAAAGAGTGCAGGGAGACTTGGGCATGCTCCCAGCATGCTGACATTGGTGGGGTTAATTTTAGGTACAAACACCTGCGTTTGCAGGGTGCTCAGCTGGGCTAAGCAGCTTGAATGTACCAGTGGGGTCTGGGGTCAGAGCAGCTCCAGCTGCTGCAGCACTGCCTTTCTCTGGGAAATGATTGAATTAGGCTTCGCAAATAATTCATCTGATGAATAGTGGCAGTTTTCCTCAAATCATCCACAAATCAGATTTTTCATTACCCAGCCAGCAGGGTAGGGAGTCAGAAAACAAGGCTGGCACCTCACTCACTGAATGCTTGCACTTGCTCACTGAGCAAATTATTCCCCAAATGCTCTTCTCCATCAGTCAGTGATGAGGAACATGTCTCTTGCAAGGGAATATTGATTAAAAGCTGTACCCAGGACTGCTGCACCTTCCTGAAATGCTGGGAAATGAAACCCTTCCCAGCCATCCTTGTACCCACCAGGAAAGCTGGTACTTGAGGTCTCTCTGCACCTCAGAGTATTTTTACACAGAAGAAGTTAAGTTCTTACTGCCTAAGAACTGCCTTTACCAACTAGGTTGGCCCTGCCACCAGTGTCACCAACACCTCCATGTATTTCCCACTGTCACTGCCTGCCTCGGGGCACTGATGGAGAGGCCACAGCATCCTCTCAGGGCTCTGCCAGGAAGGACTGGCATGTCTTGACACTGAAATTATGGTAACCCACACCCAGTAACTGAGGGACCAGCCACTCCGAGGGTGTTGAGGTAGGAGGTAGCTCAGTGGCTACCCCACCATTTTTGGGTGCAAACCAGGGTATTTGGCTGGATCAGGCTGTGGCAGGGTAAAACCATCAGCTTTTTTCACAACAATCACACACCTTGGGACAAAAACAATGTTGTGTGTGGCAGTTCCCACTAAATCTTCCCCTTTTTACACAGCTTCTACAGTCTGAGCATTCCTCCCCCAGATAAAAAAAAAAAATACTTACAGAAAACTAATAGCCAAACTCCGTCTATGCTTTCTAACCCCTCTGGATGCTCCACAGATGCTCTCCCACTATTAGAAAAGAAGCAAAGGCAAGGAGGCAAGCAGGAAAACCCTCTTATTTTCAGAGCCATCAGCAAAGGCTGCAATCTAAGACACAACCTGTGGTGCTGCCTCAACAAAAAGCCCAAGCAAATCAAAAAGTCACCAAGACACCTCACAGAGCCATGAGCAAGGACTCCCATCCATCCTTCCACATTTCTCTCCCCAGGAAGTGCTGGCTGGAAGAAAATCCCATTTGGCTCTTTGATGCAGGTGCCCAGGGACCCAGTGTTGACTCTTATTTCACTTTTGGTTTTTTTAGCAAAATTCTTTATCAAGAAAAGTACCTAACTAGCTCTCAACTGGCCCAGCTTGGGCACAGAAGGGATGCTGGATGAGCTATGCCAGAGCAGCAACACCTCCTTTCTAGCCACAGAATGCTTTCCTACACAACTTCAGCATAAAAGCAGCACACAGAGTTTTTAAAAAATAAAAAAAAGCCTGTTTGTTATCTTTCTGCAGTAACAAATGAAATCTGTCCTCCAGGCTACCAAGGATTTCACTGACTATTTTTTTTTAAGAAACAAGAAATAAAAGTAGGAAATACGATAACATCTCAGCAATTGCTCGGTGACTGTATTCTGAGTTATGGTGAGCGGTATTTTATCTCCAGTTCAAAATCTAAATGTGGCAGAGGCGCATTTAAATGTGGTGACATTTATACTTTAAATGCCTTTTACATCTCGTTGGCAACTTTTATATAGAACATATGTATGGAAAGTAGATAGGGGCCATGGATGAAAATGCAGAGCAGGAGAGGCTGCAGAGCCATTTGTAGGCAGAGTGTGAGCTACAAAAAAGGTGGAGAGGAAGAGAAAAGCCATGAGAAAGAGAAGGAGAGGAACAGGGTCCAGGTTGCCTGGGCAGTAAATATACATATTTTTTGTCCCTGAACAATTTTTTATAATGCAGCTTGTTCCCAGTCACCAGCTCTCCCCTCTCTCTTGCATCCCAGGCAGTGCAGCATCACTCACATGTTGCCACTGGTCCAAGATGAGAGGGCGATACCGCAGGAAGAACTTCAGTGGGAAAGACTCAGGGTCAGGCCACGATGAGGGGTTTTGCCATGACACCTCTAGTCTTCGAGGGTTATTAGGCACAGGTTTGGCCACCACACTCTCTGGAGGGTCTGGCTTTACTGTAAGAGAAGAAAAGAGGGGGAATTGGAAAAGCTTTGCATATGGCATACTTCCTTTATACCCCTTGGCAAAGCTGTCTGGGCTTTGCAGCATGTGCTTTCCAAGAGGAGCAGCTAACATGCATCCTTTCCCCAAACTAATTAGATGCAAATCATCTTTTGTAGTCCAGGTCAGTGATATGGCTGTCCTGGCTCAAAATACCACCATTAAGGAGGTGACAGCACTGGAGACACATGGAAACAACTGGGCCAGGGCAGAGAGCGTCCCTCCTACACAGGGCTAATTGGATCAGGATGAGGAGCCCACCAAGCCAAAATCTTGCTCTTCCCTCACTACTGCTGATTTCTGTGACTGACACACATTCAATCCCACTTGCCTCACAATAATCTGACAGAGTTTGGCCCTTGGGCTTAGGGCTGGGGTTTTGAGGATTCAAAGCTTTGGCACATGGTATTTACTAAAGGGGAAGGATTACCCTGGTCACCTTCCACTCCAGCTCTCTCTCTCTCACTGCCCTGCTCTGCTTTTGGGCTATGGGAATATTTTCTTGCTACTTGACATGTATTTCAGGTGAATATTAATTGTCTGTGGGCTATGCAATGTGCTTTGATGCTGCAGCTACTTCAAGAGTGCCAGAAGCTCATGACAGACAGGCTGTGATGAATGTCACTGCCTGTTGCAGAGCAGTCCTTGCTCCTTGCCAAGGGCTTGATCAAATCCTGACAGCTCAAACTCCCAATTGCAATAGCAAAGCTAAAAAAATTTGTGTACGCCCATGCTTATCCTTTAATCATGGTCAGGAAGGAGCTGGACACATGGAGCTAGGCACACAGCTGTGCCAGAGGTGGATGAGGGCTCTCTGTGTGCTCCAAGAATAGCAATGCACTTGAGACTTCCTGTCCTGGGAAGGCACTTAACACTCTTCCAAGTCCACATGCAGGCAAGTGGATCCTTCCTGACCTGAAAATTTCTGGATTGAACAATAGTCCCCAGGCTCTGACTGTCTTTAGTGGAAGCCTGTCAAAATGTCAGCAACAAACTCCCCTCCCAAGGATGGAGGAGGGATGGTGGGGCTGTGGGAGCTCCCCTCTGCCTGGCAGAGCTCCTGCCCTGCAGTCAGAGGTCTTCTCCATGCTGACTCCAGGGTTCACCTGCTGTGGGTGGGAAGTGATGCCCTCACAGGGGTTTTGCTTCTCCTGAGAGAGGAAGGAGGTGGTGGAGAGTGAGCTGCTCCCTCACCACCTGCCTGCAGCCCTGCCGTATGTTGAAGGGAATCTTTCCCTCACTCAAATGAGATCAGGTGCTGATCTGTGGCCAGTCTGGTGCAAGTGCAGTCACATGTGAGCTGCTTGCTGCCACCCATGCTGCAGAATAATGGTGGCACTGCTACTGCTTGCTCCTCTCAGGTGAAACCAGCCTGTGATGCTTTGAGAACACACTTTCTTGTCTGCAGGTGAGGCAGAGAGGGTGCTGAAGTGAAGCCACAGCTCAGCTACCTTGGTGGGACCTGTTTCCCCCAAGACATAGCCCACCATTTCCTCTGTCTCCCCAGCCTCCTCTTGCTCAGCACCCTGGCACACACCCTGCTGCAGTCCTTTATCATCATCATCTTCACCACCACCCTGGCTTTCACCACCTTCCCTCTGTCACAGCAGGTGCAAGCAGGGCTGGATAGCTTCCTCCTTCCCAATATCATTTCAGGCTCAAAGGGTGCTCCCAGAGGCTCTGGCAATGGCTGATGAGCTGGTAAGTCTGACCACAGGTGCCTAGTGCCACCTCCCAACTCCCACAGGCTCCTCTCTGTGGCAGGATGGGGCACAATTTTCCATTTACAGATTTATCCTCAGCAGCAGAAACACTTTGCTGGGGCTGTGCTGTGCTGAGCTACTCCAGATGGCTCTGCAATTCCTCTGCTCACTTCGAATCCCAGGGCTGGGGCTGGACATCAGCTTCCATCGACAGGGACTTGGAGTCCAAATGCATACGGAAAAGTATAAATCCAGCATTGGCTCAGCAGGATGGGTTTGCAAAACAAAAGTCTGTTTGGCTGAACGAATGCAGATGACTGTGAACTGCAGCTCTGCAGCGAGGAAGTGGGAAAAAGTGCTGGGCTAGGGATAGATGCAATGGATACTCCCTGGGGTAATGCAGGGGGCCTGGCCCTGGTTTTTAGTATGCCAGCCTGAAGGCATGATTAAATTCAGTTGGGCATGGCAAATGTGCTTGGGCAGCAATGAGAAATGCTACTGTAACTGTTTAAGGAAGTCAGAAAAAAAAAAAAATGCCCCATGCTGAAGTGGGAATCACCTGCCCATTTTGCAGGGATGTGACCCCTAGACCCTCTCCTGTGAGTTGGACACTGTTGCTAGTGCACAGAGGAAGGCTGTTTGTGTTCCCAGCTGCTATGAGCCTTCAAACAGCACTGCAGGCTAACAGGAAAACCAAAAGTCCCTGGTACCTCTTCATGTGTCCCTCATCCACAGGAGTCCTGCCCAGGCTAGAGAGCACAGCAGGGCCAATCTCTCCAAAACAAAGCCAAAACTGTTCCTGCCATGTCCTTCCAAGGCAGCAGGGACACAACAGCCAGGAGAGGGCCATACCACTGGCAGCCAGTCCAGAGGGGATAAACCTCTTAGGACAGATCTCATCCTACTATGCTCATCACAGGAAACACCTGGGCTGGTCCTACAGGGGCCAGCTGAGGAGTGAGGAGAGACAGGCTGTGTCCAGATTTCTGATTTCTATTTGACCTTGAAAGGGTCCTTTATACCCTGCAGACAGGGACGAGTGCGCCTCCTTCTCCAGCTTTTGTCTGCTTCCATTCAGCCTGTACATGGTGAGGCAGGGGCCGTCTGGCTGTACATCAGCCAGCATAATAGAGCCCTGTCCTCACTGAGGGCCTGCAGGCAGTAATGTAATAAAAGCAGTAATAGTAATAATAATAATGGATGATGGGCATTAGGCTGAGTACTGGTTAAGCGGCTATAAAACCAGATGTAATATTATCCTGCAGAGCTAAGGGAGCATCATCAGACATTCCTGGGAAGGAGACTTGGCCAGGAGGCTACTCAGAGTCCTTCCCGCTTGGTTTTTGGCTGCTGTGTCTAAGCGAGAGCTTGGAGTGCAAGAAGAACATCAGGGAGAAGCTTCTCCTTAAGGCACTGCACACTCGTGTTTAACTGCGAGTCTTTAGCTATCCATCGCCCCTGGCTGTTGTCAGACATGTCTCAAAATTAATCTGGTGGTTCAGAGAGGCAGCTGAGACCCTGTGGCATGGAGCAGCCCGTCACCCATCCCATCTCTCCAGCAAGCACTAAAATGGATCCCTTGCGGCCATTAAATATCCCCTGGCATTTTCCATGAGCAGAGGGATATTAAGCTCCATATCTTAGCCAAATGTCAGTCTAGGTAATTTAATTCTGCCTTCCTAAGTAGTATGAATTGAGCTGACCTTCTGCTTAGGCAACTGTACACCTGTGTTCAAAGACTCTGAATTTCATACAGGCATGGGCATTATGCAGCCTCTCTGAGTTGCTCTGCATCTTCATTGCCACAGAGCTGGAGTTGGAAGGATCAGATGACCTTCTCAAGGTCACAAAAGGCATTGGCAGAAGATTTGAAGAAGGTATCCACACCTGAAAGGCCCCATCCAAGGTTGCCTTCCTCCTTTTAATGCTGTGCATCTTCTCACATTTTTCCCCAGGATTGTGAGAAAAAAGGTGCTGAGGCCAGATGGCGATGAGGCTGCAGTGTGGTGGTGCTGTCCTGGCTTTCCTGGGGGACGCAAAAACCATCTTGGGCTGAAACATAAGTGAAGAAGGTGTGGTTGTATCCTAGTCAGCCAAAAATGTTCCCATGCTGTTCCAGCCACTATAAAGGAGGTGGTAGCTCTTACACACCACCTCACTCCTCCTGGCATCTTCCTCCGCCTCCAGGTCCTCTTCCCTACAGTCCCTTTTCCTCATCCCTGAGGCTGGAGCCCTGATGTCTGTAGGGCTCTGCAGGATCTCCTCATACTCACCTTTATTAATATAAATACTTTTGCAGAAGATGTAATTATGAAAACAATTTGCAGGAACAAGATGAAGGCAATCTGGATCTCTTTCCAATAGGAAATGGGGGCCAGAGGGCCCGAAAAACTTTTCCAGTCATCACTGAAAATGACAATGCAGAGTGACCCTTTATAGCTGGCTGATAATAACTGGCACAACAGCCAGCAAAGCATGGGCTCAGGACAGCAAAAGAAAGTACCAGTCATTTTCCACTCAATTAGAGACCGTCTTCTGAGCAGCTGGGGAAGGGATTTTCTTCTGGCGGCTTCAGAGATGGAGAAAGGAGTGAAGAAGCAAAACCAAAGCAGATCACTCTTTCCCAGGGGGTTTTTGTGCTTGTCCAGGCTGGATGGGTGGTCTGACCCAGAAGAGAGTCTTCTCCCAGCTCAGATGGTGCTGGAAGGGAGAACTGCCTGCCCTGCACTGAACTCTCCTTGGCTTTGGGTTGGTCTGTCCCCAGCAGGGCATGAGACTGGGGCTATGTGGCTGCCCTTTAACCTTCATGCAGAAGGTATGATGCTTTTCCCTAGGCTAAGGGGAAAACACAAGGCAGGCTTGGACAACCAGACCCAAGGATTTCTGGAGAAACTTCACACAAGTCCTGGCTGACACTGTCTCTTCATTTTAGCAGGATGTGTGCAGATGTTCCCACTCAGCATTTTCTCAATGAGCCAAAGCAGTGGCTTTGCCCTGAGCCATAGGTGTTCCACCCTCCATTTAGCAAAGGGAAACCCAAAATAATCTCCCAGATGAGAGCTCATTGGGCCAGCTGAAATCCCCAGAGAACCTACTGGATGCTAGATCCACACCTCCATTCCCCACACTGGGACACAGTCCTGGAGTGCAGCTGCAGAGAAGAAAGCTGGAAGAGACACTGAAGTTTCAGTGAGGACCGCAGGCAACCTGGGGCAAAACTGCCTAGCAAAACACAGTAATGCAGTGCACTTGTTTTAACACCAGGATGGCATGAGGAGAAGTTCCACTCAGGACAGGTGGCTGTTGTTCAGCAGCAGCAGATGCTGTAATGATCTGCTAAGCCTGTGACTGCCTGCTTCAGCACTCTGTCACCACCCTGTCTGTGCTGCTGATGGATGACACCCATACCAAATCCTGAGGAGGAGAATTTCACAGTCATACAGAATATGGAGATTTTAAGGCCACTGGATACTGAAGTGGTTATGGGAGTGGGCTGGCACAGGACACAGCCTCTCCTATTGGCATCAGCCCATCACCCCTTCCTCAAGTGCCATCCTGGAGCCAGGTGATGCCAGGTGGTGTGACCTCTCAGTGCACTGCTGAGATGTGTCTGGGCACCCTGCACCCTTCCAGGCACTTGTGCAAGAGGCAGCAATAGTACACCCGTGCTGAGGGCTGGCCCGGGGCAGTGTTAACCTGTACTCACCACTCCTCAGACCTGGGCTGGATCCAGCTTTGCGCTGGTGTTGGGATGCCCAAGGCTTGCAGCTGGGTGTGCTTCCCCAGGGGAGCTGCCCTTGTGTGCTGGATGAAGGAGCAGATGTTTGGGAAGCTAGGCAGCACATGGGTGGGATACAGAGGTTACAAGAGGATGCCCTGAACTCCTGCAGGAGGGAATGCAAGGAACTTGGAAAATGTTGCTTAATTGCTGTCCTGGGCCATGCAGACTGGAGGTTACCTTCATTTTTAAGGAGTGTATCTTGACAAACACAACAACTTCCATTTAAAGGCACCCAAGTGACTGAAATTCCATCACTTCCCTGCTAAGCTCCATGCCTTGTTATCGGCATTCCCAATGCACTGATGAACACAAGCTTCAGGTATGGACCATGGCTGCAGGCACACAGCAGGACAGTCCCGCTCCAAAGTTATTTCCCTGCTCTGTTCAGAGCTGGTGCCTTGTTAGATATTTTCCAAGATTTGGGGTACAAAGGGAAAATCTGGTATAGCAGTGGAGCTCCTCTTCTTGCACTCCAGCATTTCCAGCTTCTCCATGCTGTGACATGTAGCACATTAAAGGCAAAGACCAACCACTGGATGCACCTTAATTATTCACTAATTTGTTTTTCAGGTTCATCCATTGCCACACGCAAACAGAACATTGTTTTCCAGCCTATTCCTGAACTCCATTCTCTCCTGTTTTTCCTGTTCTTTGAGGATGTCACAGCATCAGCTGTAATCCAGCTTTGGATGATGGCAAAAGCTGCCTGCTTTGCTGTGTTTGGCACTGGATTGTTTAGTTCATGCCTGCCCTTTGCAGTCAGGGTAGTATCTCTGCCATGGGACTGGACATGGTTGGGAAGCATCCCTGTGGCACAGCCTGAGACATGGACACCCCAGTCCACAGGGCCTGCCTCTCCCTGTCCCACGCTGCACAGCATCTGCTGTCCTGATGGGGCAGTGAACAGGAATAGGAATAGGGTTTTTAGACAATATTAGGTAAGGGCTGGGGGGACATGACTACAGAAGAGCTTTATCCCAACTAAGGATGGAGACAAGAGAATGGGACATTTTAGTTTCTCTTCCAATCCTAATTGCCATAACTCTGCTTCCAGCAAAAACACCAAACCTCTCCTTTAGGGACTCTCTGAGGAGTAAGAATGGCAACACCATTTGAACCTCACAATTTTCACAGTTCTTTGCCCTAATACATGGCAGCTTTTCCTCCAGCATCCCAAACAGGGAAGAATTTGGCAACCATGGGCAATCTGGACCACTGGGTGTGGGACCACACAAGACACCAGGCCACTGATGTGACCAGCATGGAGGCTGCCTGTGGGCATCCTGTCTGGCTCCTCCAGGATGTTCAAGTGCCAGCAGGGCCCTGAGAATTGGAGGGGCACAGGGAGGATGCCAGAGTGGCTCAGATCCCATCTCTATGCATAGGCAGAACCTCAAGTTGGAGAGCCAGTCCCTTCCCTGCCCCATCTTCCCAATGGATGATTGGCAGAGCAAGCCAAACCCAACACCGCCCTGGAGATGCCAGTTGCTGCCGTGGAAGTTACCTATGGCGAACTCGTCAAACGTGAGAGTGGTGAAGTTTTTGCCCAGAGCATTCGTGACTGTCAGAGTCACCTTGTACTTCACTGTTGAGAAGAGCTGGAGGTATCTGATGTGACACCTGTTTTTTGGAACAGCATCCTTCTCACATACCATGTCTTTTGTGCCGTGTCTGGAAAACAGAGGTGAGAAGAGCTGTTACCTGTGGATGCACCCAAGCTGCTGGAGGAAGGAGGCAGATTGTGCAGTTCTGCATCCCCTCAAAGACAATGGTCCCCATGCATTCACTCGCCGTTGCTGCAGACAAAAGGCTCCTTTCCTTCTGCCAGGGAACTGTGTGAGCTCCTGTGTATGAGGGTTTTCTCCCAAGCGGCTTCAGTGAACATCCTCATGCTGGCCCCAAGGAAAGCATGGGACCCAGCCAGGGTTGGGTGTGGGTCTGGCCCTCCCATGGGAGCAACCAGGTCTCCTGATGGTGACACAAACATCAGAAGATAATACATGGCATCAGCCTGAATAAGGGCTGTACCACAACTCTGGCTCAGGGTAGGGAATGATGTCTTGGCCAGTTCTAGGTGAGAGACATGGCTGCTGCCCAACAACAACTTCCTTACACCAGAAAAGAGCATGGATGTGCCAAATGTGCCAAAAGCCGATGGGCACAATATCACTACAGACAACTGGTGCAGAGAGGATAGTCTTGGGGAACACAGAAAGGGGATCTGTGCATGAGGACTTTCCTGGTCCTTTCTGAGGAAATTGAAACTTCCTTGGCAAAAGGTCCTGGTCCCAAACATCCAGTTTATATCTCCCCAGAAAATCCTTCGCCCTGCCCATTTTTGGGACACTGATATCATATGCTCAGCACAGGTCAGACCCTGCCTGTGACTGTCCCCAGACTTCATGGCACTACCTGAGACCTCCAGGCTCCAGGCTGTGGGGACTGAAACTCACCCTGTTGCACCCTTTCTCCCCAGACACTTACATGACAGAGATGTTGAAGGAGTTGGGGATGTAGGTAGGAGTGGGCAGGTGCCAGCTGCAGTAGAAACCCTTCGGGTAGTTGTTGGATCGGCACATCAGCACTGGCTCCTTCGGGGGGGCTGCCAGGGAAAGAGAAAGGGTAATTACCTGCTGGAGTGCGCTCCCCACCAAGTTCTGAGCAAAGGGACAACCCTCCACTCCCAGCTGCTGCCAGACTGGGAGGGGAGAATTTGCAAGGGGAGCATATCCTGTGTTTATCAGATGCTGGAAAGATCTGGGGGTCTTTGTCCCATGCCTTCTGCTGAGGTCCTCCATGACCCCTAGGTTTGGGCTGGGCTGTGCAAAACCCACCTTCTCCTTGGGCAGCTCACTGCTTCTAATGAGGAATGGAGTGATAGAGATGGTTTGCAGGTACCAGGGGAAATTGTCTTCAAGGCTGTGACAGAGATGTTGCTGATGAGGAGGAGGTGCTGTTCTCTTGACCCCATCAATCTACACTACTCACAGCTTTCTCTGCCATCCCTGGGGAGTGATAAACTTATTGAGGGATGATCCTCCAAATGATCAGAGGTCACCAAAGGGAGGAGAAAGGACCACTGGCAAGAGGAGAAGGAACAATGTGAAACCAGTGGACAAAATCCAGCTCTGCAAGAGGACTAACTGTGTTAATGATTTTGGCATGGGAAAGAGCATCCCTGAATCTGCTGCACTGCCTCCAAAGAGGCAACAGGAGACAGGATGAGAGCACCCAGTAGGAGCAGCCTTCCTCTGGCCTCATCAGTTGATCCTAGAGGTTAGAGGCACAAGAGGATTTTAACCCAGCAGTGTTCACACGGTACTTGGTTTTCCTGGATGCACATGCAATGCACTCTCCTTTTTGCAGGAGCAGAGCAAGGGCTTCAGGAAAACTCTGCAAAAAGCTGAGGGATGGTGCATGCAAAGAATGAGATTTGATACCTTTGGGCTGATGAATTTTACCCTTGGTGTTAAAAATCATACCTGATCTGACACTGAAATCAACTCTTCTTGGTACCCAGGAACTTGCACTGACTGTACCGCCTGGCACAGTGCCTTGCCACAGAATACACCCTCTGGGCTAGATGTGCACCAGGATTCCCCTTGGAAAGGCTGTCTGATCTTGTGGTGTTCTCTCTTTCCCCTTCTTTGTTAGCCGTCATCCCCATATACCCACTGCAAATATCCCAGGACATGCTCTTCTCTCCGAGCAGGCGGCTTGAAGCAAACTGAGCAGACCTGGCAGCCTCAGAGCCGCTTCAGCCCCACAGCCCGTCTGTCACTGGCATGACACACGCGGGGGCACAGCCTTCTCGGGAATGAGCTCCAGCTGCGACTGGAGTCTCAGTCTAGCACGATCTGCAGAGGGGAAACTGAGGCACAGGCTTTGCGCACCCCCGGCACCGCTGGGGCAGGACTTAGAGGGCGCAAGCAATTGATAAGGGAGCCAAGTGCAGCAGGGCCAGGGAGCAGGGAGAGCAAGGAGGAACGGGAGAGGGAACGGAGGGGGCCAGCGGGAGGGAAGGCTATGCCGCTCCGCTCTGAGTGTTCCTCCTAATGGCCATTTCAGCCTTCAGCCGACAGACGAAGGCCAGAGCCTGGTTAATGAGCCTCCCGGTTAAATTATTCAAGCAGACCCTCCACATCAAAACAGAATGGCTAATCGCAAAGCCAGAGACAAGAGCCTCATCCCTGCTACAGACCCATCCTCTTCCTCCTCCCCGCAGGCTCCTTAACTCCTTCCCTGCCTCCCCTGGGCGTGCGGGACCAAGGGCAGCATTACTGTTTGCAGGATGCAGTGGGGGGGTTGGAGGGTCGGAAGATGTCCCGGAGGGGCTGAAGGGATGCAGGGGGTTTGGGGACAGTCTCTGGGTGCCCGGTGACCGCGTGGTGGCACTGTGGGCTAGCAGCACCTGCCCGGCACCCGGCAAACCGGGATGGGGCTGGGAATGCTGCCTGGGGATGCTGGGGACACTGGGGATGCCACCGTAGGCGACTCGCACACTTGCTGGTTGTGCTCAGCTGTTCCGCCCGTAACCAGGAGTCGCCGGGAAGCCGGGCTGAAGCAGGCGGGGCTTTTTCGAGCATTCCTGGAGTCCTGCAGGGTCCAGCCCTACCAGCACAGCCCAAGATGCTGCACTGCTATGCGCCACAATTAGTCCATCTGAGGGATAATTTATGTCTGTTGTCTCCAGTATCACGCCGGATCCGGCTCTTTGTGATCTGTGCTAATTCCTCCGCTGAGGAGGCTGGGGCAGGCTCACTCCTCCAGGTTCATTTTGCTGGGAGGCGGAGGGAGGGTTGCGCATTCTATTCCCTGCTTCGATCCCCACTCTGCAGCAGCCTTGGAAGATGCCCCATTTCCACAACATGCCGTGAAAATCCTGCCCTCTGCTTCGAGGCTAGTCCCCAACCTTTTGTGTCCAGCATGCTCCACCTCTTACCCTCTGGTTCTTTTACCAGATGTGGAAGGAGAGACTGGGGAAGGGAGACAAAATGATCCTCTCATGTCTGCTCTCCTGATGCAGAGTTCAAGCACAGATGCAGCTGAAGGGAAGCTTCTGTATGAAGCCTGTCTCACCCTTTGCCCTCTTTTTCTGGGCTGACACAAGCTGTCTCACACAGACACTCCTGCAACCTCCCTCACTGCAAAGAGCCATCAGTCCCAGAGCCACAGGTGTCCCAGGAGGGATTTGTCAGGCAGGTACCCCACTTCCCACCTTGGCAGGCAGAAAGTTCGTGGCAGAGTGTGAGTGAGGGCGGTGCAATGTGCCACAAGGAGCTGTGACCATGACACCACATGGGTGACCGTGGCCACCACTGCCAGGCACCACAGAGTTTAGGGCTGCAAGACACTTCTCAGCTGCCTGGCTGCATCAGGAGGGCTCTCTCTGCCCACCCAGCCATGCTGTCTTCTCCAAAATGGTGACAGATTTTTCATCTCCCTATGGGAGACGATAGCCTGCAACCTTGCTCCTCTCCCCTTCTCTCCCAGGAAAGGCACTCGCTGGCACAGTTCATGCTGCCCATCAAAGGCTCTTAAAGACAGCAAATAAAATTGCAGGCTCCAATCGATCCAGCACGCTATAATGCTGTCTTTGGAGGTGGGCCAGCCCATCAGGCCAACAGAGAGAGCAAGAAAGGCAGTGGAGGAAAACAAAGCCATCAAGGGAACAGCATTAAAGGCTTTTTCTGCCCTGAGGTTTTAGGCAGTGCTGCTGGGTGTGGGGGTATCCTGCTCCAAACTTCTCCATTCTCCCTCAGATGATGTCCAGCTCTCAGCACCTGCCCCACACCACAAGCAGCCTGAACAACAGGTTGAGCTACTTGGGCTCTCCTCCCTGGGTTCCTGCACACAGCCTCCCTAATTCTGGCAAAATTTCCATCCATGTTGCTTCATGGAGCTGCTGAACTCTGTAAAAGCAGAGCTCTTTTCCTTTTGCCCAAACAGTGCTTGCCCTGTCTAATCTGTCTATTAACCTCTTGCATGGCAGGGAGCCACTTCTCCCATGTGCTCTGCTGATGTCCTCTAAAAACCCAGCATGTTTAATGCCTGGCTGTGGCAGCTTCCCAGAGGCTTGGGTTGCAACCAGCATCACTACAAAAGCTCTGGGTGAGGTGAAGAAAGGCTCAGAGCTGAGCTCAGAGCTGAGAACATGCCATCTGGGCACATGGCTCACAAACTATGAGATGCTGCAGCAAAATCTGGGGTCTGCCACAGCAGTGAAAGCTGGTATCAGGGTCTCAGCAGATCCTTGAAAAGACCAGTGTCAGGGATGGAGCTGGCTTCCCCACCACAGAGTGCCCCATGCTTTGCATCCATTTAACTCTGAATCTCTAGAATTTTGAAAACAGCTGTCACTTGACCAGCTTCAGCACTTCTGCTCAGCTGGGGACAGCACCACAAGTGGCCCTGGGGGATGAAACAGCTCTGGATACACCAGCACACAAACAGATTTTTGTTTCCCTCCTCATCTCTAAAGCCCAGTTATCCTTGTACCCTCAGCTCCACTGTGCGGGGAAAAGTGTGACCAATCCATTTTAGAAACCACTAAAATGTATCTAAAGAGTTTTTCCTAGCTCTGCTAGGTCATGAGATAATGGACATTAAAATCATGACATTTTTATATATAGAAAAGTTATTTTAGGTCACTTTTAGAGGTTTCTGAAATGGATCAGTTATAATTTTCCTCTCCTGCTGAGGGCTGAATGTACTAAAGATGCCTTGCTCCACAGGTGGAGGAATACAAAAAATAGCACCAATAAAAGTTTTAAGAGGCCTCTCAAACACTTCTGTAGGAGGTATTTTTTCTGGTGCACTCGGGGCACATTCAGGCGCTGGGCTGATGGGGGATAATGAGCCCATAGTGTGCTTTTGGGGTCACCTGCATAACTCATCATCTCAGCCTTGGGCCAGCAAAAACTCCAGGGTCCCTGACAGCAGCATGTGTTTGAACTAGAGGTATAGCTGTGACACAGCCTGCCTGCACAAGGGCAGAACCCCTGTGCTGTCCCACATGGGGGCACAACCCCACAACCAATGCTGTTCTGCTGTCAAAAGTCCTGCTCTTTGCACCCCAAGTGCCCACGGCAGGACCACATCATCACCCAGTGACTTTTTTCACACCACTGGTGGTAGATATGTACAAATACAAAAAAAAAAAGCCACCCAACTGACCAAAAGCAAAGCTGCAGAGGCTTGGACAGCACAACAGGAACCCACCTGGGCACAAGATACCATCACTGAGCATGTGGGCACAAGAGCAGCAGACCTTGCTAGTCCACACACGCATCTACACAGATGCTTTTGTTATGCACATGCTGGCTGCCAGCACAATGTATTATTTATCTAACACTGCTTTTCTAAAAGCTTGTTTGTGTACAGGAGGCTGGTAGGAAACAAGAAAGAAAACAATGACAAATAAATAATATTTCTACTGCCAGGTGTATCAGGGGGGCATCTGTCTGCCATGTGCTACCTGTGCTGGAGTGCAGCATGCCTATGTCTGGGGATGGTCCCTTCCATGGACCCAAATGTTTGGGTGCAACTGTATTTTGTTGCTGGAGAAAGGGAGGGAGGTGATTGAATTTGCTGTTTCTCCTT